AAAATAATATTCCTTTTTTCATCTTAAAAGTACAGATCACCTTTATAATTAGGTAGTTTTATTTTATATAATGTGTGAACAGGAAATAAATAATATCATTTTTTAAAATAATTTTCACTAGAGTGCAAACACTTTATGGATCATATGATCTAAGTGTTTAACATCAATAGTAATAATTCACAGTTATTTTATTGTGAGTATAAATGATTAATTTAGTTTATATACAGATAAGGATGTATGTTATATCCCGACGAGGATTATGAATGATAACTATTGGAATCTATTTCTAGACTAATACTATACATATATTTTTTATTGTATAATTGTTAGATAAATAAACTATGCATATTCATATTCCTCTTATTGTAAGCTTTATTTTGATCCATAGACTATTATTATCCGATTTATCGTTCTTGAGTTATACCCAGTCTATTAATTACAGTCTCTCATATTCACAGCCACGTTTGACTAGATCTTGTACAAATGTTGTTTTTTATTTTGTGATGCGATGTGGTCTGTTTGGTTTGCATATAAACGCATTATGTTTGTAATATATGATTTATATCGCGGAGGTTGAGATTGGTGTTCTGAACTTGAGAGGCAGGAAGGCTAGGCAGAAAGAATGATCGATAAATACTCTAGGAGTGCTAGTACGATTTATACGTCATTTGTCCAGTCGATAGATCTCCGTCTTCTAATTAGCGGCACAAGGCCACAAGTTATAACAATGTGATACTAGATATACAATATGTTTTTCTTTATACATTAAAACTCTTTGGACACATTTCTGATTTCCAAACTTTACGAAATGAGCATAGGAAAATTCAAACTTTATGAATAGTATTAGAGTCGACCAAATTCAAACTACTAAACAAAGAACATAGTATTGAGTTTTACTACCTAAACAATTGGACAGTAATTATCACTATTTATGGTTTTGTTACTAGTTAAACAAAGAGTTTATTGACGGAAAGACACTTTGCTGTTTAATTTTGTCTGATATCAAATAATGCAAATGAATAGAATAAATAACTATCGAAAACATTATATAAATATACATAACAGTGTTAATGATGGTAATAGAATAATCAACTATGTAACGTGGTAAAACAGTTTTTAAGTTCAAACGCATGACAACTTCCAAATAAAGCCTGAAATCTCCGCAAATGATTTTTATCACAAAACTGCTACAATAAAAGTTCAGTGCATCAAAAATTCATTTTAAATGGAAGTATGAACCTAATCTAAAGCTATGATAATCGCCCCAGCACTTGAAAGCTATAGTTGACCAATAACAAGAAGATCAAAACAAGAACGAAACGACTATTAAGTGTTATATATCTTTCTACATACAAAGCACGAAAACATGCATAGTATTTCCTTGTAGAATGAAAATATATAGCCTATAAGTTATTCCATTCTTCCTCAAAACAAGTTCGGATTTCAAAACCAATATAAATCTTGAAATTATTTTTAAATAGTACAATGCTTTAGATATAAATTAGTACTATGGTTAACCCAGTTTATAAACGACGTTTGTTTTTTAATAAGTAAAGTATATAAAATGACCGTGTTGAACTCTTCAAGTGAATATAAAGAGACATACGTTTTGTATAACTACAGGATAATATGAGATCAAAGATCATGACAGGTATAGATCTCAAAGAAGCATATTGATTTAGTAGTAAAAATCCTAGTCATAAAAGTACCTCTAAACCATTACACTGTCAGAGACTATGCCATACAACATTTTAGGTTCTCCTCATTAATTATTATTAAACAGTTTCGCCTTAACCTGAGACAACATTAGTAGATTTGATTCCATTTCATTGTTAAAGAGTGTTTCAAAAATTCAAAACTTCTTTGTTATTACTGGAATTACGAAGTGTTTTAGTCGATCCAATGGGTTTTTTTTCTATGTTCATTCTCAGATAAAGTTCCGGGACAACATAATTGGCGGATAAATACTTTGGGCACTGGACGGCTGTCCCGTCCTATTACGGGACACTTCAGCAGTGCGCATCCATGATCCCCCATGTGGGACTCGAACCCAGGACCTTCGGTCTGGCTCTCGAACGCCCAACTCCTAAACCACTGAGCCGGCGCATCCAACGGAGCGGAGTGCAGCCTTGTCTGTCGTGAGGCAGTTACTCGGTGATGGCAATGGTGAACAGTCGCTCAATATCGTGGAGGGATCGAAATTAAACATTAACATCGTTGGATGCCGGCTTAGTGTTCTAGAGGTTAGGCGTTCGAGTGGAAGACCGAAGGCCCTGGGTTCGAGTCCCGCGTGGGGGACCGTGGATGCGCACTGCTGAAGAGTCCCATACTAGAAATAAACGGCCGTCCAGTGCTTCCAGGTTTTTTATGATGGTCTAACATTGATCGATTCAATCAAAAACTTAACAATCTCCACAACCCTTTGCTGATATAAGATTAGTTTTGTCTTCGCACTACTCTGTTAAAAACTGAATTGTTTTGTGCTTGTCTAGGCAACAAGTGTAATCTGATCTTTGGTAAGTGATATTATGTAAACAGTTGAAATTTCACTACTCGTCTAATTTTTTATGTCTGAATATAAATGTGTTATCTACTTTCGTTTCCTCATGAAAAAGGAAACATAAAATTTGACTCAGTCGTTCAAGTCCATTGTATACCATTATTATTATGACTTTTATCTTTTCAGCTGTGGAATATGTTTATTCAATAAAGAAAATACAACTAAATAAATAGTGTTGTATAAATGGATATCATGTTAACAATAAAATTATAAATGAGTTATTCACAAATCTACCAGTCGGTCAAATGATCAGAAAGAAAGTTGGCTTAATAACGTTATATCGTTATTTCGCTGTTATTCTGAATGATGTATTCACTGAATTGATCAGAAATATGGTATTTGATGAAATGGTTAGTAGATTCAAAATTTTTTACGTGTGATGGTGGTAGTAAAAGGTATTATAATTCAGGAAAGCATTTGAACAAGCCTATAATTTGCAAAATCACAGTTGTGCAGGTTAAACATAAACTGGGAAATATACACTCGACATTGGTTCTTTTATAAGATACTATATATTTCTATATATGGAGGAGGGGTATTTCTAAGAGAAAAGAATTCATAATTCATCTATTCATACCACATAAAAGCTTGTTATGTATACAATTACTGCTTGACGAAAATTCCTGAAGATTGTTCTACATAAAACCTGCTAATATTCCAGAAATGAATTTTGTTGGCTACGAGTATGTAAGAACTGGTATCCACGCGTAATATGTAGAGCTGAAAGATTAAGTACAATAGTTATGTAAACTTGTAGTTAAATGCCAAATAGTTTTTTACTGAATTCATAGTTTTTAGATAAGAGAGAAATAGTAAATAATGTCAACTGGGTTGCAAATAGGTGTAATCTAAAAGTGTAGACTTTGAAGGAAAATGTCTTTTCAAAATTGAGCTGAAAAACAATTTGTAGGCACATCTGGGGCGCCACACCAGAAATCACTTACATTTCCACATACAGTCGTACCCATGATATACAGATTTTATAATATGCTTGATATCCTCACACTAATTACTTATAATCCCAATATTCCACCGTTTAAAACTCACTCAGCCTGAAAACTTTTACAGTTTTCATCCAAAACTATCAGTATATTTTACTGATCTCCACAAAACCCATTCTGATATCAGTAAATTATTAACTTACCTATGTTTGAGCTGAACCCACTAAAAATGATTTCTCAATACAACCTTTCTCAACTTCTGTCAAATATTGACTAAACAACCATTAATACAGTAGATAATTTGGCAGAAATATTTTATATGTTACCATGCTTATTTTCACCCAGTTTTTGGTAGTGGGTATATAAAAATAAAAAGCCCATAAATCAGGCCAAAAACTGTTATCCGGTTTTCACTATTTTTTCAGATGATACCATTTTATAGTGATATCATTTTCAAGATCGAAAGGAATTTCTCCTTAAGAATCAATTAGGCATGTGAGAAAAACCAATTAGCCCAGAATATGTGTTAGTTTTCGCAAAAAATAAATTTTTTCGTGTTAAATTAAAATTTTTGTTCAGTTAACATGAGCATCTATACAATTGATTGATCACTGGGTGATGATCAATGCCATGTATGTCAGGCCTTTCTTAGTGAAGATCGAATCCTATCGACTACGTTGAAATGTGACAACCAGAATAAGTGACTCGACATTGCGTGCACTATGTTGAGATAAGATAATGGTTGGAGGTGGCTAACAGGAAATCCTGGACCTAGGTTTCTTGGCCGAATTGCGACTTGGTTGATAGGATTCGATCTGCACTAAGAAGAACCTGACATACATGAAAGTGGTCACCACCCAGTTATCAGTCAATTGTAAATATATCTCAGTCCTACAGGAGGTCGTTCGCGGTCCGGATAGCTCAATGGTAACGTCGCCGACTGCGAAGCCGTGTGACACGGTATAAAATCCGTCATAGAGCATCAGTTCAGGTATATCTTTCCGACAAGTGCCAAGTAGCACGAAATCTAGGTACAGGGTATCCTGTTGACTACCTCCAACCACCATCTTATCTCAACATAGTGACCGTCTGTAGTCAAATCTTTGAAATGTTTGTCATTTTTAAAGAATACATATATTTACATTACATGAAAAATACAAATCGTTTTCTTAACTAAACAATCAACTAATCAATCGTTGGATGATTGAGGATACTTTATTTTCTCTTTGAATAAATAACCAAGGAAATATACATAGATACATATATTTTACAACAGACTTGGCGTCTATTCACTTCTCATTACAACTCTCTATCTCTCTCTCTGTTATCTAACATTAACTACTAATCGATTCAAATCGAATCATTGGTTACACATATTATTATTATTATTCTCTCTTGAATTATTTCAAGTATTCACAAAACAGTTTACACTATATTAATCTGATTGGTTGTTAAGATGAATCGAAAATTTAAAAAAAAAATCAAAATCAAAATAAAACAAACGTTTCTCTCTAAACTATGATATCAATATTTATGCATATTGATCAATTCATTTATGTACATGGTTTATTCCATATAGAATGTTATGAAAAATGACTATAATATTCATTTGATTATAAGAAACTTTGAGCATAACAACAAGTCACATATACAATTTGGATTTTTTGATAAATTATACTCCATTTTTAAACAAAATAAAAAAAAGACTCTAACTCAAATAAACATCCTACTTTTATCATTGAAATGTAATATAAGTATATAAATATATACAAATAGATTGTATTCTTTAAATGATCATTTAATTACATTAATAATAATAATAATGAATAAACAATCATTGAATACAATTACACCATTATTATGTATCACAATACATATAGAAAATTATATTGAATTATATATACATGATGATTATTCATTACCAATATTACAATATCGTTATGAACAATATTATAATAAACCATGGAAACAACCAAAAAAATGTATTAAAACAAAATTAATATTAACTTATACATCATTAATATTAAAAAATGGTTCATGGTGGCCATATCGTTATGAAAATGTAATTCAATATAAAACAATACAAAAAATTATTCTATTTAATCAACATAAATTACAATTAGCTATTGGTTTATATGATGATGATTATATTGAAAAACAATTTTTAATTATAACAACAAAAAATATTACTGATATTGATAAATTAATTCAATTAATTGATACACAATTATTAATATGGAAATATACATTCAATAAACAAATCGATTATTATCCTTATCAATTATATAAAAAAAAATTAATAACCAATAATAAATTACAATTAATACCATTAAAGAATAAAGCATTAAATAGAAAAGGTTTAATTGATAAAAACCAAATGGTTCCAATGACAAATCATGTAATTGGATTGAATTCATTAAGAAATACTTCATTTAATCAATTGAATGAAAAGATTATTGATAAATCGAATGGTATATTAGAAATTAATTATAATAATCCACAATCAAATCATCATTATAATGAGCATAAATCAATACTACATACGTATAATAATATGAATGATCATGATTTATATAATGATAAAAGAATAATTGAACCAATTCCAAGTACTTCAAATATTAATCATCATAATAAACATCGAAAAGAACATAATATCAAAAAAGAAAAAGAAGAAAATAAAAAAATAAAAAATAAATTATGTCAAACAGATTCTTATTATATTGAGAATAATAATATCAAATCATGGGAAGTTGATATTAAACATGTACGTTATGATCCTATACAAGGAAATGTATTAGATGATAATGGTTCAGTTTATTTATATTCTGCACATGAAATTGACTAATATATATATATATTCATAATCAATGATCTATTAAGGATTAAAAAAGGGTTTTAATGAATTATTTGATTTTCCAATATAATCAATGGAATATTGATTTGTTCATGTTTTATTTTATAAACATTTATTTACTTTTAAGTGTTATGCTATTTTCTTATTAAAAAAAACAACTATTGAGCTGTAATCCATATTTATCATTAATGAGTTGTAATAATAAAATTGAGATCAACTATTCTATATGTTGCTAAGGCAAATTTAATAAGAACAACTATTGAAATGTTTTATGTAAGTAATTTTCTATGAAGAACGGTTCATATAAAGAAAGTTTTATTATATGATAATAATTAGCTTAACTTATTAGAGTTGTTAACTTAATTTACTAGTGAGAAACATAAATAACAGTTGTGACATATATATATATATATATATATTTTCAATAGTTGAGATCATGAGTCACTTGAAGCTAGACCTCCATGGAAAACCTGGGAGCACTGAACGGCCGCTTCGTCTTAGTATGGGATGCCTCAGCTGTGCTTATCCACGATTCAATCGACTAAGGAATTCAATTATTAAATTACTATAATATCCACAAAATTCCTTTTGGTACTAATCAACATATGTTCACTAGTGATTTATTTCAAGAGGTATTTCCTGGAGTTCTAGTGAGAAGCAATGATCAGTGGAATTCAACCGGGTCGGTTGTGAGATAGAAGCTAACTGATGACAATGGTGGATGTATCGCTCAATTACGTGGATTAGTTAAAGTGAGACATTAACACCATTGGATGCCGGTCAGCTCAGTGGACAAGAGGTTAAGCGTTCATGCTCGAGACGGATAGGTCCTGAGTTCGAGCTACATGAGGCGGAATCATGGATGTGCACTGTTGAGAAGTCCCACAATAAGACGAAACGTCAGTCCAGTGCTTCCTGCTCTTCAATCATAATATCAAACATATATTTCATCAGCATTCAAAGCTTGAAGACAGCGTCGTTTTCAGTTGTTTTAGTCATTGACTGACGCGTTACCAAAACAGAATTATCATGAAGCTTCAGAATAATGTTCAGATTTCCGTTTATCCATGGACTAAGAATATTGGGGTGTACACGATGAAATACTAATTATTGTTGATGAATAAGTCACATTGAAAAAAACGTCAGTGTTATACTTTCGTGTATTTACGTATGTCTAGATTAAATTCTTACAATTTTGAGTATCAAAAACGTTATACAAAGTCCAGATAAACTAATTTCTGAATGATAAATGTATTGGTTAATGTTATCAGCTAATTAAATGCAATACTTACATTAATTTAATTGATTTGGGAAACCGATGAAGTGAGATCCCAATTTCTTGAAAATGAGTATCCATTTAAATCCCATACAATCGACTATGAACTTAAATATGTAGAACAACACAATTAAAATAAAAAAATACATAAATAGATTTACCAGCAAGGAAACTCTATGCTTCAGGTATGACATAAGAATCTCTGATGCATCAAAAATTTCATCGTATTTTAACTTCGCAAATAATGGTGAATAAAAGACAAGACAATAATTTTGAACAACATAGGAATGATAAGACTTACAGAATTAAAAACGCATTCATTCGATTTTAAGGCTACAAATAAAGGTAAGATTGTCATTCAACAAATTTGAACTTTTAGCAGCTTCAGTTTTGAAGACTATACTTCATTCAAGTAAAGACTTGGGAGTACTAATCCCTAAAATCTTGTAGAAGTCCTTTTCCTAACTCTTTTTATAAATCTTTTACCACAAGTACATCTAAGTCCAATAATACAGTTGACGGTGGTATCAATAGAGTTATAATCAACTTTTGAATAGTCTAATAAGCATTCCTTATTGTATGCTGAAACCAGTTGAGCTGAAGAAGAATGCGTTTTTTTTTGTGCCCCTCCTAATTCTTCTATAAATTCTTGGCAAAATCTTATCCAAATAAAATAGAAAACACAGTTTCTGTTTATGCTTACCAGATTACTTTTCTTTGTATTTCCTAAAAACATTTTTAAATATACATTTAAATGATTCTTTGACTTTGTTGTCTGAACACAATATTCCGAATCTCACAGTTTTTCGGCAAGATTTTTATCTACCAGAACAAAAACTGTCTTAATTTAGGTACTACTTCATCGATATCTCTTTCTTGTATATACTTTTTTAAATAGTCCTATAACTTTTTGTTTTATGTCAAGATCTTAATAGCTAATCAGTTATCATTACCATAGAGATATTATCAGTCACTTTAAAGAATAACAGGTTTGATATAGTCAGCAGTTTTTTTGCTCTTCAACTGATAACATTATTCATCTAACACATTGGTTTAGAGCATCTAACATTTTATGGTTAGAAATAAATTTTACAATTATTTATATGATATGATTCATGTTTATTTAGGCTGGCTTAGTACTGAAATAATTGCAGTTTCCAGCACAAGATAAATCATGTTCAATTTTCTCAGAATTGTAAGTCCAGAACCTATTCGTTAACTCTCTAATGTTAATCATTTCCTGATCACTGTCGATATTATTAATTTCTTATTACCTATTGTGTAATTTCTGAATGTTTGTCAATAAGATATAAATTCTTGTATATTATTCCACCATTAGTAATATCAATTACAAGAATGATAAATTAAAGTGAGTTAATGAGAAGATAATGTTTGTCATAACCATCCAATATTTTAGTACATTAAATTTAGAACGATTTAATCATACGCTATTTTTATTAAAATAGATTTATATGATAAATACAACAATCAAAACTATTAGATAAATTAAAGGATAATAAGATAAAACAGAACAACTCACATCACCTTTGATATTAAAAATGTGAGTTACTATAATTATGGTAGGTTTGTTGTAAGTACAAACTTTTTTTGAATATGTATATGGTTAAGACTCTGATAAATTTGTGCATTCAACCTTGATCACTTCCATAAAACACTATAAAGATTGTCTTTAAACAGGTTTTATGAATCAATTCTGCTTTACGTTTATCAATAAAAAAGAATGGGTATTTATTATCTGTTCATTAGAATAAGTTTGTTTTTATAAATATTCAGGAAAATATTCAACTATCTCTATTTGAATATTCTAATAACTTCTGTTTATGTTGTATGTGGACGGTGTTTGGCGAAACAGCTTGTATCAAGTTTGATTGACTAATAAAGCATAGGCTTTGTTTTTCCTGTTACGATTGTGATTTTGAGTAAAAGACATTAATGACCACGGATTCACGTTTCTATTTGAATACAAGGCGACTAAACTAACTACTGAATGATATGGTTATGTAAACATATTATTTTAGTGATGTCAACATAATTACCAACATATTTTGGCTCTTTTATCTATTTTCACTTTAAAATAACTGTAGTCTCTATATCACTATTCCATGTAATATCTTCACTTCATCTTCGCTAACAACTTTTGATCAAACGCCACTGATTGTATTAAATCGAACTTTTATCAAGACTTATTAATATAATGACTACAAAGAAGCTATAAAAGCTGAGTTATTGTCTTATTCACTCAGGCCTCCTGTATATTTCGATTCGCCATATAACTAAGGAAGATAGCTGACTGATCTCCTCTTTGTAAAATGAAACACTAGTGAAATTTTCAATTGTATTTAGTTTCTTTAATAAACTAATAAGAAATAACAGATAAAAATGAAAATTTTATCATTCTTCCTTATTCTAGAAATGATAATAATTCCTAAAATCTCACAGTATAATACATTCAAAAGACAAGCAGTTAAATTTTGGTGGAGTTTTGTTCTCTGAGCTGGATGGTTCGGTTGTGGAGCTTTCATCGTTCTTCTGAACGACATCATCAGCGCAAACTTCAGATAGAAGTGAAGTGTTCGAATTTCTTCATATGTGTTTCACAGCTTGTTCTGTACACCTCGATGTTGATTGGCTCTTCTTGACTTTAAATTTATCATTGTTTACTTCTTTGTTTTGGTTGTCTTCCAAAAGAAGTCTCCCCAAAGAAGTAAACAATGATAAATTTAAAGTCAATAAGAACTAATCGACATCGAGGTGCACAGAACAAGCTGTGAAACACATATGGAGAAATTCGAACACTTCACTTCTATCTGAAGTTTGTGCTGATGATGTCGTTCAGAAGAACGATAAAAGCTCCACGACCAAACCATCCAGCTCAGAGGACAAAACCACCCAAATCATCCACCTGAGCTACAAATCTTCTCCACCACCTGACAAGTAGTTAAAGAATAGATTTGTTTGCCTCATTTATCCAGAAGGTCAAATGAAGTGTCTTAGATATATGAAGAATTATCTTAACTAAAACTAACATGAAATATAAAATAATTATACCATAGTCATGAGACTATGAAATATTGACTGTGATCTACTTCAGCTTTACTATTAACAACAAAGGCTAACAAAATATGTTTACTAATTTATTGATCTTTTTACATGAATATATTCATCGCTCAAGTTTTGGGAAGTTATATATATATATGTACTAGTCTTTGTGTAAAATAATGGCTTAGTAACTAATCAACTTTTTAACTAATCAATAACATGTAATTGTTGACCCGATAAATATTATTCTTTTAACAAAGTGATTTACATGAATCCATTAAATTAATTATTCTGCATATATTAGCATTCCTAAATAAATATTGGTCATGATCTAAGTGATTATATATACAGAACTGTACAAATTCAAAAGTCATGTGCGTAAAAAATGGAATTACAAAAATGAAAATAAAGAAATCTACTAGAAAATGAATTGTTTATTGAAAACTGAATGATTTTTGTACTATTCCATTGGTAATTTGAAATAGCTATACGGAAATAATCAAATAAAAATAATAAGAAACTTATCTTAAATCCAATGAGACATTTTTTTCATAATGTATTGTTGTTATAAGGTTGCTATTGTACAATGTATACAAGAACCTGTTATAACTAGTAAATTATTATAACTGGTCATCGCTGATTGTTGTGCCGGAAAAGTGCTGATCGCTTATACTCGGAACGAGAGGCCTCTGCGATTCCCACGACGTGAAAGTAAGAACACAAAGACTGATATAAGTGATGATTTACTAACTCCAAAACACTACGACGACGACGACCCTAGTCTAGAATACACTCATTTATATATTGATTCGTACATCCATTTCGATTAATGATTAGGATGAAATCATATATATGAACATACTTAGAGTTATAACAAATCACATACTGAGCATAGTTCATGTCAATGGAATACAAGAATATCGCATATTATACAGTATAAAATATCATACGAGAAAAGAAAACAAATAATACATTGAGTAATCATTACATTGAATCAAAACGGAAGTAATCTTGAACAAAACTTATAATGAGTAAATCAATCGAAAATTGACATTTCTTTCCATCATATCAGAACTATCATTATCGATTATCTTCCTAATTAAAGTCAGAATTAACTAGTACAATTCTCGTGTGTTTACTGAAAAGTAATTAAACATTGCACCGATCAATTGTTGAATAATAATTAATTTCGTCCTTGACCAGTTTCGAATGTTGATCGAATTGTATTGATCAAGTTGCGAAGTGGTCGCTGGTTTAACTGAATCAACATTGGATGCAATAAGTTTGATATTGGATGTTTGTAAGTAACCAAAACACATATCTAAACTTAATGCTAGTTATAAGCAAAGATGGATAGTGGCTAGCAGTGGAATCCAGGACGCGCGTTTCGTCCTATTTGGGTCTCGTCAGCTGGATGTAACTGCATCTCAGAGTTGATGTTCACTCTGGGACTCGAACTCAGTACCGTTCGCTTCAAACGCCATCGCGTTATCCACTTAGCTACTGAGTCCTGATAGCCACTTGCTTGTGCAATGGGTTGAAGTTTAATTCACTTGATATTGTTTTATTTGAATCTTCCCATTGATGTTTTTTGGACTGAAATTGATCAGTCTCTTATTGGCATCTTTGCTTATAATGCTTGTAAATTAAGGCAATATCGAGGGATACGCACAGTATGCACATATGCCAATAAGAGACTGATCAATTTCAGTCCAAAAACATCAATGGGAAGATTCAAATAAAACAATATCAAGTGAATTAATGCTAGTTAGTACACGTCAGCAAAATATGTCTGTAATCTAGTGTCCATATCGTAATTTGATCTATCGAGTTCAACCAGTACCAATGAATAAATAAATATGATATTGGTTACTAATCAGTGACCGCCATTGTAAGATACTTCAACTGTACATTAAGTCAATTTTGACTCGAATAGAACAGTAGTAGTATTTCCGACAGTAACACTTGGTAATGTAGGCTCAAATTGTACGGAAAGTATGCGTTGCTTCAAGAATGCAAATATGCCGTACTTACAAGCAACAATAAGCTCAAAATCCAAATTCAGAGCTTCCCGCTGGTTGAAATATTTTTCACTCTGTAACGGAATTTGGATCAACTCGATAAAACATGTTCAGTACCAAAGATTACTTAAAGCAATACTAGTAAGCCCTTAAATTAGTTCATGTTCTAAAACAGAAAATAATTTTTCAAACTTTATTTTTTTAAAACAGATTCTTTTTTTTCTCTCAGATCGAACATAATTTATGTCAGTAAATAATTATCATTTAATATAGGGTCAGGTAGAAGAAAAGTTTTTTTCAGTTCTGTTGAAAGAAACAAATAGGCAATAAAGAAAAAAAGGACTTAACGATGAGAAAAAGTACGACAACAAAAGGAAGAGAAAAAATCATGTAAAAACAGGATACAGATTACGTAAAATCAATTTAACTTCTTGTTTCAATGGCTAAAAAATAGCACATATAATGAGTGAGATGATTATTATTATTTATCATTATCAAGTAATGGATAACAGAATAATAAGAATAATCAGTATTATCATCATTACGATTAATATCATTTAGTCACTTGCATAATATATCAAAGAACAAAGAAAAGATTTAGAATTGAGAAAAGATTTTACTTTGTATAAGTAAATAAACATGCGAATAGACTAGTGATAAATTAAGAAAAATTTCAAGGGGAAATGAAATAATTTTAAATGATAACATTAATCATTGTTCATTTAGATTATTCTTATTTGTAATAAAGCAGAAGAGTTGGTCGTTGCTGTTGTCGTCGTTCTTGTTGCGTTTTCTTTTTTGGAAGTCATAAGATCTTATCAACAGTTTTAGTAAGTTTCTACTTACGCTGTAGCCTATTTCATAACTACTCATTAAATTCGAAAGAAATCATAACAGAACAACAATAATAATGATAAATGATTCAAATAGAGAGGTTAGCAACTATTTTTTTCAACAATTACGTTGTTAATAGAAGACAAATATATAAGATAGAAAAAGAAAATATTATTTTAAAAAGAGTTAAATGAATAAATGAGGAAATATATGCTTTATGATTACGTACATACAACTTGGAAACAAAAAACTAACAAACCAATAACTGTTAGAATTGTTTCATATTATAATAAAGTTTTGTATAGTCGTTTTCTTTGTATATAATCATAAAATTTCTTTTAAATATTTAAAGAAAATATGAGTATAATAAAGCATCCGGTTAGGCGAGGAAGAGAACAGATTTCTTTTTATTTCCAATAAAGAAATATTCATGGGAATGAGAATAAGTAAATAAATTAAGAGAAAACAAAAACAAAGGGAGGAAGCATCGAAGAATTTTGTCTAAAAACACAACAACAAAAAGACAACAGAGAAAGGCAAGACAAATGTTGAAATGTTTAATCACATTAATAGTTATCATGATAAATAATAGATAATAGTATACACATGTATTATATTAGATAATCCTTCCATGTTTGGCAACAACAACAACAAAAAAACATCTATAGTACTTTGGAAAGTTAAAACCAAAAACAGACAAAAAAAACGAAATGGGAGAAAGTAAAGCGTTGAAAATGAAAAGTTTTAGTAATAGTTTTTTTCGTTGTTGTTGTTTCAAGTCACAAAATACATAAGTGAACAGTCAGTGATTGACTTTCTATAACATTCATAACGTATCATTTTTTCTTTATTTCTTTATTTAGTGAATATGATCTCATCTTATACATACAAGTATGTATACACATTGAAATGACTAGCAAAATAATAACATGAACTAAAAGAAAATGAAATCTTTCCTTCTTTTTTCTTTTAAGAAAAACAAAACTGGTTTGGAATATTCTTTCTGTTGGTTGTTTTGTCTACTTGAAAAATAATATTCCTCTAATGATTGTATCATTTACACAATTATTTCCGGAGATTTTTATTGATTTGTTTGTTTCTATGTTGTTGTTTGAATTTTATTCAAAGTGGGAAAAAGCATTTATTGTTAGTATAATCAAGGGGGAGGGGAGGAGAATAAAAGGTTTCTATGAATTACTAATGTTTTGAGAGAGAAAAAAATGTATAAATCAATGAATGATAATAGTTCATAGATTGTGTGTGATATTGTGCTTGAATATGGGAACATAATGTTTTCTTTTTAGATCATAAATTTATTCTGAAATGTTAGTTAGTATATGGTCTATTACAATTTTGAAGCCATTTATCATGATAACATTAGGATAAGTTAGTTTTCCTGTACAAAATATGTAATTTTAAATTACTTTAACTGAATTATTATCATTCACCAATAAAGATGGTATGACTTGTAGGCAAAATTTACATACAAATGAGTTACCATTAATATCTTTGATTTTTACTGAATAAATTCCAGAATCTTTTGATGCTTTCACCGATGGAAGGATGCATATACTGGTTTGAGCAGATTTATCAAAATCACAATAATTAGGATCCAACGGAGCATCGTTGCGAAACCAAAAAACTAAAGTTTTATAAAATGGTTCAAAAATAATAAGTTTTATCAATTTTCGTAGTTCTTTGTACAGTTAACATTGTGAAAGCATATATGAAAAGGTAAACCTATAAGGAAAGAACTGCGTATTAATGAATCGTGAACTATTTACTCCACGTCACTGATCAACGGTTGTTACTCAAAATACCAAATCTTTGATCACAATGGTTTTTAAATACATTTAATTTATTTGTTAGGTTGCTTTAGAGTCTTAGTTCGAAAGTTAAAATCAACAGGGAAATAAGATGTTCGGGAAGATATGTAGCTCATGTGGATGATCTTGTTGGAGATCGTTCTCTGAGCTGAATGGTTTGATCGTAAAGCTTTCATTATTCTTCTGAAAAACATTATTGGCGTAAACTTCAGCTTTTATCCCAATGTTGTACTTATAATGTTATCTAATAGAACAGTGAAAGCTCTATGATCAAGCTATTCAGCTTAAAGAACAAAACTTTAACAGAAAACGAGTTATTCACTACTCGGGGACTCTGGACCCAGTAGCACTGTCCTACACGTGACCGAGATAATAATCTTTAAGCGTCGGCTCAAGTACGATACCTTTTTCATCCAAGTTCCTTAACCGGTGAATACGAATTGCAATCCATAAATTAGGTCACTAATGAGTGGACAGTATTTTATGATAACTTTAAACCAGAAAGATTCATCTTGGTCGCCAAGCTTAGAATTAAGTTTTTACTTTATAAAATAATTCCTGAAAATCTACCGAGAAAATGTTTCTGAATTAAATGAATTCCCTGAACCAATGTGAACCATAGAATGCTTAATAAAATTAAAGACAAATTCTTGAGATATGAAGCCCGAATAATTTCCATATGTAACATAACAATAGTAAGTTTTAATTTACATATAATGAAAATTGAACGATTTAACCTTATATTATATTTACACTCGTTATGCTTCATTTTAATTTAGGAAGCTTAATCACAAGTTAGTAAACGAAACTATAAAAGCAAACAAATGAGAAAATCTAGTCTACTTCATTCATTTACTCTCTCTCTCTCTCTCTCTCTATATATATATATATATATATATATATATATATATATATATATATATATATATATATAACCCAAATAATATGGTTTCATTCTGCAGTGTAATTACACAAGTTTCGAGAATTTTGTTAAATTAAGTACCTTTTTGAATGTAAAACTAGTTAACGATGAATTACTTCCAACTCTTGGGTAATACAATCCAAAACAAAAGAAATCATGAAAGCAATACAAAGTAAATCAGAGAAAAAGATTGGTGAAATTTCAAGTTATCTTTATTTCACACTTTATCTACATGTTTGTGCGTTTTCAACCGAACTGCTTACTCACCTTCTTCAACTGGTGAATTACTAAAGGAACATTTCAAAGTAACAGATTCATTTTCTTCAGCACTACGTGATTGTGGGAAAGTGAGGAAATTAGGTCCTTTTGGCACTTCGTTTGCAGCTGTAAGATGATAAAACAAGAATTTTTTAAATCATTCGATTTATAAAAATTAGATACTACCTGATGTTTAAAGTGAAAAGCAAGGTGAGATATTCATACAAAATCACAACCCACTTAGTAAACGTACTTTCATAACTCTGACTAGTCCTTTAATCTGTATTTGGAAATCCTTAAGTTACAATGAATTACAGTAGATGGCTTCTGTTCATTTAGCCACTTGTGAGATATATTTTGTGATGATTGTAGACAGGTATATAGATACAGAAATATCCATAAACACTTGCCTAGAAATTTCGATACGCCAAAGTATGTGTCGGATGCTTATTCAATAGTTATCTTAGGACGTTTCAAAGCCTTTAGTATCTCACTAAAATTAAGGCAGTTATAAATACTTGTGGGAGATAAGGAGCACGAACACTATTTCTCCAGTTTAAATATTATTATTCTACAACTAAATGTTAAATCTAACTGAGCTGCAGATATACAACAATCAATTATCGAACTCCAATACCATTTTGTTGTTGTTAAGGCGTTGCAATGTGCCGACAGTGAATAGAAACTTATATTAAACTTAACGATTTTATAACCAGTTTAAGTAATGAAAAAATTGTCAATGAATAAAACGATTCTACATAGAATGCCTTAGTCTTAAACGTAATAGTTCCAATTAGAAGTGCCATTTCCATCTATTTTTGTGCATGAAAATTATGATGGTTACTTTGGACTAGGGAAACAGTTTACCTTTTAATCTTTTGGTTTATTTAATACCGAAGGAGATTTTTATCATAAACTGAAATCAGCTTAGATAAAAACTCACTAGTTCAAAGAAGTAACTTGATAGAGTATTAAAAAAGAAAACCGTTCCTTTATTTAACTTACGTTCGACAACAAGGAAGGCAATAGTCGATGCTTTTCCCATTGAACTTGTGACACGACATTCGTAAGTACCAGTGTCTTCGGGTAATAGAGCTTGTAATTCAAGCTTTATGATTTCGTTATCTTGAGAAAATATATGTCCAGCTTGAATAGGACCATCATTATAATACCACTCAGCTTCTGGAATGGGATCTCCTGATACAGTGCACTCTAAACAAACCGTATCTCCTTCTTTGACAGTTTGGCTTATTGGATGGACAGTGAATAATGGCGCTAATCCAACAGCTTTAGGTATGATTCCTCCATCATTATCATTTATTACTTGTTCAACAGCTTGACTAGAAAATTCATCTGACAGTTCGTCATCATTTTCATCTATCATTCCATTCAATGAATTAGCTGGGGCTATATATGCAGTAAAAAAGTATTTTATATTAAGAGTAATGGGATTCACAACTGTTAAATTTGTCGTATAAATGAGAGTTTACCACTAAATTCATTACTTATTAAAATTGATAAAAGAAGTTTTGAATGCTATCTTCGAGCAAATCATGTTTTAAAATCTGGTAATTAGGAAATCAAAGGATGGAGTTTTGTAGATCAGCCATTCCTCCCACTGAATCGGAATATGATTCAAATGACAAGATTTAGTATGGAATTTAAAAAAATATTTGATTCCCTGTATTATATCTTACTGACTATAAGCATAAAATAAGTGGAAACAAGTTTCAGCCACTAGATTCAACTAGTATACATATAGTTATCAACATCATTGATGAGTCTTTAGATTATGTCAAACAGTCTTATAACATGTAGAACACAACATTTCAACTTATTAGCAACAAAACAATGTACTTGTATTCTGTTGTGAAAGAAATATAAAGAAGACGATTATAAAAATGTGATGTATACGATGAAATATCCATTCAGTTCCTTTTTTGTTAACGGTGTGTGATGGAAAACTGTTATCGAATCAGTTGTTTGGAGTTTAGCATAAAATGAATTATCAAAGCAATTCTTAAATTAGTGCTTCTCAATCTAATCTAAACAAAGCAACTAACATTTCAAAATATTCTTCTTGAATAAATGATACATACCTTCAATTTTGACACTGGTTCGAGTAATAGTTGTCCCAGCTTTAGCTTCATAATCACCTGCATTTGAAAAACTAGAATCAAATACTTCAAGATAACTGAATTCACCATCTTCAGATGTTGTGATCTTTATATTACCGTCTGAAGTGATTTCCTGCAATTCAGTGTAAATATATGACAATTTTAAAAACAGTTACACAATTAAGACAATCTGTTTTATTATGATATAAAAACGTTTCCTAATTGAAAAAAGTGGATTTTTGTTTCGTGCCAAATAGCGTTACACGATGGTTAAAAGTCAACTTAATAAAGATTTTCTCTATGTATATCAAGTCTTATTTGATAAATTCATCTTTAAATAACAGTAGTAACCAAATGAATTGAAAGTGTTATAATGTATAAAATATATTTATCAAACAACCAAGCTTAAATTTCATGGAAATGCATAGCGGTATGCGTATGAATTTGAATAACCCAATGGCAGAATTTCCATTCAATAGTTGGATTATATCATTTCAAATCTGTGATAAAAAGCTAGTGTTGATAAGCACAGAATATAGAGGTGGTGATTGTTGTCGATTAGCCCGATTATGTCATGCACTAGGAACTAGTTGCTAAATTTGAATCAGATTACTATTTTCACTGATGTAAGTATCACGTGAAATGAGTCCAGGGCATTCTCTGATCTATATTTTCAGTTCATTCAACGAGATAACTTCATCCGATTGCTGTCAATAAACCACGAGGATTTTCTATAAGATGAATACCGTAAAACTAGTGGGAGCCAGTGGTATAACAAGTGGTCTAGTCAAATTTTAAAAATCCTTAAGTAAAACAAGATTCTAGTGATCAGTTAGTATTCAATAAATAACAGAAAGTATAAATTTGAAATATAATGAAATAACAAATGCAGTGTGGCGGACTGGTATTTATTAGTATTTGTGAGTGTTTAAAAAGATACGGATGAAAATATGCCATAAAAGTAGCATCTATCAAATTGAATTATAATTGCCGTACACTACCTGCTCTATTGACTTGTTTCGCCAAAAACACCGATATATATAGTCAAATATTTAATTACATTCAATTAAACTATCATAAAACAATAATTCATTACAAAATCTATTCAACTAACTTGATTATTAAAACTCCAGCGAATTTTAGTTGGGGGATTTGTTGGTTCAAATCTTGCTTCCAATTTGAAACTTTTGCCTAATTCAACTTGTGTAATGGGTTTTAACCCTTTTGACAATTTAGGTGCAGCAACTCGAATAGGTTGGATTTCACCATTGGAAGGTCTATGTTCCACTAAGTCACGTAATCCTCTGATTTCATTATTTGACCATTTATCACGTGTTTCATTAATTTCACGTACTTCTGATGCATGTCTTTCAGTAAGACGAGTCAAAGTTCTTTTATCATCTCGCCATGAAGAATTTTCATTTCTTGATTCAAAACCAGTAGGTTGTTGACTACTTGAACGTATTTTTCGGTCAGCATGTTGAGCACTGAGAAATCGTTTAACACGGCTCGCTATGAAAA